CTCATTTCTATGCAGTTAGAATGCCCAGCTCAAACCCAGAGTCATAAACATGTGCTCCACAAGTGTTTCAGAATCAGCAATCCTAATTCAGAGTTACAGATAAAATTTCCATCCCCAAGTGAGGAGCACACTACCCTAGCGATGAGGACAGCTATTCTCACCAGCAAACTTACTTCCAAACTGCTGCCTCCCAAGAATTCTCTAGGTTATGGTGTCTAGCCACCTACTGGAGTGTTTAAGAAACATTCTCCATGGCCCTGTCCTGTGGCTGTAGGTGTCTCATCCTCTTTGCTGAGTTGCAGCACAGTAACTGAGGAGTGTAAAAAGAAACAGATAAAATAAATAACAATTTTAGAGAAGCAATGAAAAAGTTTTAACTTTAAAGAATTTGGGGGCCAGGGAGATGGCTCAGTGGAATAAGCACATCCCTGGCAAGCACAAGGGCCTGAGTTCAATCCCCGGTTCCGCAAAAAAAAAAAAAAGAATTTGGAAGTATACTGCCTAGTGTAGGCAAACCCATAAACACAGGCAAAGCAGCAAGCTGAGGACACAGGGACTGTGGACTGGCACACAGGGGTTGATCCCAACCTACAGAGAGATTTCTCTCCATGCAGCACATACCCATTGTGTGCGAAAGGTGGCCCACACTGGCATCCCAGGACCCAGTGCATAGGAGCTGAGCTGGTCATATAATGGTCATGACTCATCCACAAGGCTGACACTGACAAAGATCTATAAACTGCAGTACAGGGTTTCAGGATAAATCCTGAGGGGATTTGACTGACCTGTCAGATACAAAAGTTACATTTCTTGTTATATACATCTTGCGTTAGCTTAGTCTTAACCATCCAGCAGAAAAGTATAAAAATGAAGTATCAGAAGTAAAGCCATATTAATATGCTGAGCTGTAAAAGGCTCAAGTCAACAACTTCTGACATTGCCAGTCCTACGGATAACCCACTACTATTATGGACTACTGGACTATATTGGAATATTTTGCTGAATTCATGCACCTACAATATTTAAATAACAATGGAATACCCATCTCTGATAAAACTAAACAAAAAAAGGGGATACAAATGAAGGACCATTTTGTATCTATATATTCAAAATAGTTAGGATAGATATACAGCTACTTTCTCTTAATTCAGTGAATAGAAAGATTTGTACTAATAATGTTTGTGGACAGGATATCATGTCTGCATCTTGTACTATAACCACTACGAAGACAACAATATGCAATGTATTAATTATTGAAACTGTCCTACTAATTGGTTTTGAAACTGTCTCATTGCTGTTTCTCAATAAAATTACTAAAAAAAAAAAAAAAAAAGGAGGAGCTGAGCTGGCCAAAGCCAGAGACACCTGTGCAGGGTAGGAAGGGCACTGCTGAGGTTGGTGGAGACACAGAGACCACGGTAAGGTGCTCAAGCTCTCTGACAAGAGGCAATCAGCACAAGGCCCCTAACCCCTCCTTCAGGGGGTAGGGAACAAAGGAAAGACTACCCAAATCTCACCTTTCTTGGGAGTCCCAGAAATTTGGCTTTCTCTAATCTCCAACAATTTTGGATCCCTTGTCTCTGCCTGGCTGCACAGCCACCGTGAGCATGCACTTAACACGTGTTGGCAAACAGTATTTAAGGAAAGACAGGAAATAAAATTATTTCCCCAAACATTCATTCCTCTCTTCCTAGAAATTTTGTCTACCTTTGCTCAAGGTCTACCACTCTTAACACATTCACCAAGTTCCAGGCTGACACTGCCAGGAAGCCGTTCTTCCAGGACCGGGGTGTGGCACTGCTGCACTTCATTCCAGACCAAGGAGAAGACCTGAGTAACAACTGCCTCCTCACATCCCCCCCTTGCCACTAGGGTGAGCATGGGCTAGGGAAAACTCCAGGAGAAGGATGTCTAAATTCCCGTTCTCTCTCACCTCAGCACACTTCAAGCAACTCACTCTCCACACTAATGTTTCTTCTAGGCCAGGGAGATAGCTCAGTAGAATAAGTGCTTGCCTGCCAAGTGCAAGATCCTGAGTTCAATCCCTGGTATCACAAAAAAGAAATAAGAAAGAAAAACAAATGTTTCTTCACCTTCCAAAAGAAAAGAGAATGGGCCCCGCTAACTAGAGATTGTAGTCTTACTGGGGACAGAAGAGTGACACTCCTCATAAGTTCTCAGCTGAATACCACATGCAGAGATGGGTAACTTACTCCTTTATCAGCTGTTGGATGTCTGTCCCCTCCAAGCAAGGTGAGTTCACAGGTACCACTGGAGGATCAGACCACCAGGACTACCTACACGCCCTTGTCTTCTGAAAAGGTGAAGCTGTGGAAACCTAAGGTCAGTGACATTAGTTTTGACACAAGCCACTTCTCAACAGCACAGGAAACCATTCAGGTACAAAAGGGAGAATGAGTCACTCCTAGGCATGGTAACTCGGTGTGTGTGTGTGTGACAAAGAAAGCCCATGGTATAAGGGAGATGTGGCTTGCTCTAGTGCAGTCCCATAATCTCTCTACTTAATTTCACAGGCCAGCTCCAGAAGGTGGGCCTCAAAAAGGTACACCAAGAGAAAAAGCCAGCCCAAAGAACTTCTATAAAGACACATAGCATAAGAATACATCTCCCAGCCAACTCACATTTAAAAGTGAAACCTAAGGCAGCTAGCTTGGCCTCGCTCAGCCTTCTCGCTGGCTGCTCAGCTACACCCTGACTCTGACCCTGCAGACACTAACTGCTCATGGGTCAGCAAGCTCTGCAGGAGGAATGACACACTGTGTGTCCTAGAGGCCACTGTGCTCCAAGAGGCCCCAGGGAAGAGAAGGACAGAGTAAGCCCCTCTAAC